CCAAATGTTCGTATTTGATTAAGGAATTGATCGTTAACTTCACCAAAGCCGATCACATGAAATGTAATGGGAGGTGACTGAAAGAGAACAAAGCATCAAATTATTTAAAAAGTAGTTGCACAGTGACTTACATTCGTCATTCCACTTAGAATCAATTTTAACATTTCAATACTCTTCTTCAATGCCTGACTATTTGGTTCATTATCCTGTCCATCAGTCATAAATATAAAGGTTGTTGCTTTTTTTGATGATGAATTTTGTAGAAGATAATCTTTAATGGAAGTAAAAATACATGCAAATGCGGTGCCACCACTGGCTTGTAGATTAGTATTTTGTTCAAATAGCGTTTTTAATGTACGTTTAGTGTCTGTTTGTGTATTATATGTAAATAGACGATAATCTTTTTGTGTGCGTTGATAAATATCTCGTAAAACCTCACAGACATTGTTTATAGGACTACCAGCCATTGAACCACTTGTATCAACACAACAGATAATCTCAGTACCATTACCATCATTTGTCCCCGCTGATCCTTCTGGTCGTGGAAGTTTGATTTCCACATAATTTTCTTGATTAAAACACGGTAGTTTAAAGTATTCTGCCATGATTATATCGATAATCTAAAAAATAGAAAGTATGAGATCTGAATCCTACATATGTTTATTGCTGCAATTCCTCCTTTTCGGTATAACAATATCAGAAGGGTAAAAGAATGAATGAAAAAAGGTAAAAGTGAAGTGATTATATACCACAATCTTTCAAATATGCTGAAAAATTTCCAACAAAAGAAGCCGAAGAAAGAGAACATGACACATTGAGACAACAATATATTTCGCGTCTAATAACGTCACATAGAGTTTTATTTGTCGTATATTCACATGACGCTTAGGAGTCTTCCACGTACACCATCATAACAATGAGTATTTGGATATTTTCTTGAGGGTGTGGATCATTCAATAGGTAATCTTCATACAGAGAACAATTCAATCGCATGCATTGTGACGCGTCAATGCAAAATATTTGCAACAAAAAAACAACATTGAGATCGAAACAACAAATTGATAATCTTCCTTTTACATCAAATTCTAAAGCAATTCTACCATGCGTAAACTATTATCTACTGTAATATCAACAAAATCTTCGAAATAGAATGTTCTAGTCAACATAAGAACATGATTTGTGAAAAAAATCTATGTGAGCAAAGCGTTTTAACTACATTAAATGTATTTTCTGCTGTGATTATTTTGTTAGTCATCGAACTATTTGTCGAAAGATTACTCCAATAGCAAAATATATTATCAATAGATTTAGATGATAAGAATATATGAAATAGTAGAATTTTATAAGATTTATTGACTAGAGTGTGGGTGGCTAGAATGTGAGTGTGAGTGTTAGTGTGGGAAAAGGCATAGCAGAGACAGCACCCACACCCTAAGTTATTAGGACAGTATTTCAGCATAACAAGTTTTGCCAGATAATGAAAGCAATTAACAGTATTATAAGAGATGTTTTCGAACTAATTATGAAGATACAAGTATCTGACATGTTCATATCAAAACGAATTTATTTTTTTCAAGCAATTATTTTTCTTGTATGTAAAAGGATTATGCCCTTCAATTATCCTTCTTGTGCTGAAGCATTCGTGCAAATCAAGACTAGCTTTTGTCTCATAACTATTATTTGACTACAACACTTCACAAAGTAAGACAAAAATATTTCAGAAAGCTAATATAGATTTCAAATTATTTTTCTTTCATTTCACAAACACTTCAATTTATAGTTTATTTATTCATTTTATTCTTGCAATACAAAAAAACCATTTTTAGTGTAGTTATATATTTATTATTAGGATGATACTATACTGTTAGATGCACGTTCATAATAGTATTCACTTAAACTACCAGAGCATCCACTGTTGTATTATTATCGGTAGTATTATTCGGTGATACCATCGGAATGTCATTAGTTGTACTAGTAGCATTAACATTGATTTTGTGTTTGGGTTTGATTATTTTAAAATAGTAGACAATACTACCGATAATGCCAAGTGAAACAGGAATACCAATAGCAAGTGGTAGAATAAGAGCTAAGTTTGGATCTGTATCAGCTAAAAAGAAAATTGGATTAAATATAAGGTACATGGTTATACATCAACGAGTTGATCATACTTGGCATGTTAGGTGTTGTCGTGCTTCCAGTTGTCGGGGGTGTTGTTGATGTTGTTGAAGGAATAGTTTTTGCTGTTGTAGTTTCCATAGAACTTGTTCTATTTAGAACAATAAAAATATTATCGTATACGAGATAGTTATGTTGATACATACTGCACTGTTGGTGTATCACTACTGATTGGGTTCGTAGCTATTGATGATGCAGCAGTAGCTGTAGTTGGTGCTGGAGTAGCTGATGTTTGTGCTGCAGTAGTTGTTGTTGGTGCAGCAGTAGTTGTCGTTAGGGCAGCAGTAGATGTTGTTGGTGCAGCGGTATCTGTTGTTGGTGCATCAGTAGCCGTTGTTGGTGCATCAGTAGCCGTTGTTGGTGCATCAGTAGCCGTTGTTGGTGCATCAGTAGCCGTTGTGGGTGCAGTAGTAGCCGTTGTTGGTGTATCAGTAGCCGTTGTGGGTGCAGTAGTAGCCGTTGTGGGTGCATCAGTAGCTGTTGTTGGTGCATCGGTATCTGTTATTGGTGCATCAGTAGTGATTGATTCAGGAGTTGTGTTTGTAAGATCATCTGTATGAAGATGAAAATAAACAAAAATAAAATAAAATAATTCATTATCAATATCAAACACATTACCACAAGACTGATCGTAAATATACATTTCATCCAATGCAAAAAAAAAGTTTAACACTCCTGTATCACGCATGATTCTAACAGTAATCTATAATGAAATTAAATACTTTTATAAATACATATATCAACTTCAATTGATGAGATTAAAATTCCATGACAATCTTACTTACTTTATATGAAGATAATGATGATGGACCCATAAAAGTAACTTGTTTATGTTGCCATTTATTCTCTGATGGTACTGCTGATACCGCAGTAATAGCTTCTATTTCTTCATCATTTTCCCAACTAATCTCGATTTTAGCATTTTCCGTATTATCAGTTATATAATAGTAGAAATCAAGACATTGTTCTCTGTTTGAACTCTTTTGAACATTAGCAACATATGTCACATCTATTGGTAAGGTACCAATACTTGATGGTTTTATAAGACCATAGCTTCCTAAAACGAATAGATTTGATTGAAGTAATATTAAAAACAAGAATGAAGAATAAGAAGACAATTAACCTGCATTACATTGCCCCGGACCAGATTCAGTTGGACATGCAATATTAGTGGCGGTGAAACGACGACAAAAATGCATAGCCCAACCTCCTTCTGTATATGTATATGGTAACACACAATATTCATTGTTAGGCACTGTTGGCGATGCTGCACAACAAACAACATTTAACAATAACCTTTTACTTTCCTTTTTCATTCTAAATATACTTACAGATTGCCTTGACATCAGACAAAGGTTGCCTAGGAGCTGTAGCAGCGGCATCAGGACCAGTATCTGCAGTCATAGCTGGACCACCTGTTGTTGATATGAATTGACAATCACCTGTTAGTGGAGTAGTGTCAAAATTGCACTGAAAATTTATGATCTGAGATCGACATAAGATTAATGTATGGAGAAGAACTATCAAAAAAAATCAACAATCAAACTTATAGTTTTTTGTTGTGATTAGCAAAACATACCGATAAGAATAGATGACATGTGATTTCTCATGATAAAGTGTATGTTCCTCTACAATAAAACGAATGGTTGATACAAAATATGTTAACAATGGAGTTGATGGTAAATAGGTATCTGAAACTACTAAACGATAAGAACATGAGGTGTATGGTAATTTAAATAGAAAGAAAAAAGATATCATGTCTTATAACAATTTAATTTAATAAACAATAAAATTACATTATATATTTTACTTTTGTATATGTGAATATAAAGATAACACATGGTTACTTTTTGTCAAGGTTTATCTCAGAAGAGAACAAGAGCAAATGAAGAATCGAAACAGAATATTAGTTTTAATGAAATAAATAAAGGTAAATCTCTTTCTCTCGGTTCCTTTTATTCATAGAAAAAGAAAAACAATATTGGATCTTTATTTCATACAATATTCGATCCTCATTATGGCATCATTGAATAAATAATTTCTATCATATAATAAACATCGATGATTTTGTAAAACTGATAATAAATATATGTTATGTTATTAAATAATTAACAAGTTCAGTCATTATTAATATTATTAAGAAATAAACGATTTTTATTGAACATTAATTATATAATGGCACAAAGTATAACATCCAGTAAGAACGAATAACGATTGAAATTTAATAACAACTTGAACGTATATATCAGTTCATTTAATATTTTCTTTTGTACGTTGCAAATAAAATAACAAACTTAATATATTCTCATTTATCGTTATTCCAATTAATTTTTGTTTTATAAGACATAGTATTGTCATTAATCATTTAACAAAGATAACTGTTGCCAAAAAACAAAACATGCGTGTTTATTATATAGACAATATAGCATATTACTTGATCTGAACGTATAATATATATTATGAACATCAGCTAATATCTACTATAAGAAATATTCGACACCTAAGTATTGTAATAACAGCCAGTGTTAATAACAAGAAGACTTTGTCTTCTAATAAAACAATGATAACAAAAATGTCGTATGTTAATATTAAAAAGAAGGAGAGATAACGTTTGTCTATACTTTGTACTTACGTTTAGAATGTTATAATAAATAGACAATGAATATTCCGCGACTCTTTTTTTAGCTATGCAACGTTGAATTGGTATCGATTTTACATAAAAATTATCCTGTGAAAAATTCAATTTAGAAAATGTTCAGAGATTGAAAAGGCCGAGATGAGGAAGCAGTCAATTCATAGAAAAATATTTCTGATGCCAATCTATTTTTAACTATACATAAACCAGTATATAATTAATCGAGAAGCAATGTTTTTATAAGAACAGAACGAAATAATTTTATGTTTATTATCATTTTTTTTATAGAATAGAAGGAGTTTGATTTATGAATAACAATCGAAGGATGAATATTATGAAAATGATATAGTTACTTAATACTTTCTTTTAAATTCTTATCGATAATTCATTTTAAATAGTTGATTTAGTTTATAGCAAGTTAGCATTGAAACAAAAGCTTATGATAGTAATTCAAGATTATTTGACGATAAGCAAGTAATATTATTCTTACACTCATTCATCTGTTGATACTACTTAAAATTGTTAATTTTTTTTATAGTGAATGATATGTTTCCTTTTAGTTTTGTGATTTGTTTTTCAAGAATAAAATGATTAATTTTATTTGTTTATTAAAAGATTTACTTCTCAGTTATCTGAAAAAAAATTTGAATAATATTACTAAAATCAGTGCGTTGAAAGTTGATTTAATAGTTTGCCTTCAATTCAAAATATGATTAAATGAATTAATCAGTCCTTTGAGTTCCGGATTCTTTTTGCAAAATGTGAAGTTTTCTATAAGAAACACTAAAATATGAGCTTTATTTGTTTTACAGACAAGTTATATTTCTGTGTTAAAGATCGTTAGTAGTTCATTCCTTTATGGTAGCTCTTGAGACAATCAACAATACGTCGAGATGCATTACAATCAGAACAAATATATCATGTATCAGATCGATTATTATGGTATGTCCTAACGATGCATTTCTTTAGAGACTGTTTTGAGCTCGGTGTTTGTGGAATAAGTGAAAGAGAATTTCGAATGGGACAGTCTCTTGTAGATAGTCTTCCAATAGTAGTTGTTCTTTGTGATCGGTATTTTGTCAAAATTCTTCTAGTTGTTTGTCGTTGAAAACTAGTTTAGTGGAAAAAATATCGTTATGCATCTTGTGAACAACATATCTCTTGTACAGTGCTATAATCGAAAGATGGAAAAAAGGTTGTTTGTATTGAAATAAACCAACCGTATAAGAACGTATGTGCCACCACACAGAACGAAGAAAAGTAGACAGGAACATACACATATGATTATTCTAAATAATAAAAGAACATACTAGAAGCATCTTTATCAATATATATACGTTGACGGAACTCGACTGGTTAATAATCATTTTACTAAATTAGACTCACGACTGCATGTGAGCATATGTTCTCAAATATTTTTAACATTTTAGAAATAATACATGTATCCTAATTTGTGACTTTGAAATACATGCATTTTTTCTAATTTTGAATAATTGATATTTATAAATGAAAGCTCATACAAATGACAAATATTCGTACCATTTGATCTTTTATAATTAAAAGACCAAGAAAATAAAATAATATTCTTTTTTCTGAGTTACTACGACAGTATTTCAACATAACATTTTCTACCAGTTAATGAAAGCAATTAACAGTATTATAAAAGATGTTTTCGAACTAATTATGAAGAAACAAGTATTGGGTATGTTCATATCAAAATATATACTCTCTAAAAGTAACAAAATGAACATATTCTATATTATGAGTAAACATAGACAGTACTACAAAGACGATATATGTATAGCATAGTTGATTTTTTCATGCTAGATTTGAAATCATTATTTCAAGAGCATAGAATTATAATAAAGCAATTTATTCTTCTTGTACATAAAAGGATTAAATCCTTCTTGTACTAAAGTATTCGTGCACATCAAGAGTAATTTTTGTCTCATAACTATTATTTGATTACAATACTTCACAAAATAAGACAAAAATATTCCAGAAAGCTAATATAAATTTTAAATTATTTTTCTTTCATTTCACAAACACTACAATTTATTGTTTATTTAGTTGTTTTATTATTGTAATAGAAAAAACATTTTTAGTGTGGTTAGATATTTGTTGTCTGGATGATATTAATGTTGGATGCATGTTCGTAATAGGATTCACTTAAACTACCAGAGCATCCACTGTTGTATTGTTATCTGTAGTATTATTCGGCGATACCATGGGTATGTCATTATTTGTATTAGTAGCACCAACACTGATTTTGTGTTTGGGTTTGAATACTTTAAAATAGTAGGCAATACTACCAATAATGCCAAGTGAAACAGGAATACCAACTGCAAGTGGTAGAATAAGAGCTAAGTTTGGACCTGTATCAGCTAAAAAGAAAATTGGATTAAATATAAGGTACATGGTTATACATCAACGAGTTGATCATACTTGGCATGTTAGGTGTTGTCGTGCTTCCAGTTGTAGTGCTTCCAGTTGTGGTGCTTCCAGCTAACGTGCTTCCAGCTAGCGTGCTTCCAGTTGTGGTGCTTCCAGGTATGGTGTTTCCAGGTGTGGTACTTTCACTTGTGATGCTTTCAGTTGTGGTGCTTCCACTTGTGGTGGCAGGTTCTAACACCTCAGTAGCAGTCGTGTCGATCACCGGAGTTGACTGCAAACAAATAAAAATATTGACATATAAATAATAATAACTCTCTTTATTATGCATTAAACACATACCTCACTATTGGAATAAATATTTATGTGCTCTAGCTGATTCTATTGATGGTGAAATGCTTTTTGAAAATGCTTCATTGAATAGGTTTAGACAGTCTTGGGTGGAGAGAAAGTATTCTATTAGATGCTTACATATTTCTGAAAGATTTGTTGATAAAATTTCAGTATCTGAGAGATGTATGGATTGGATTTCTTCTAATTCTGCTCTTTCTTCTTTACCTTCATATGATATATAGGAGGTTCAACTCCTCCGTATTTTTCCTGAATCGTTTTTTATATTAGTTAGTTGTTATCTCGGTGGTTTTTCTTGTGTTTTCATGTGTTTATATTTTTTCTCTAGTTGTTTGTAGTTAGTTTATTATCTCTTTATTTTTTTCTCTATTATCTTATGTACTGTAAGGACCTTCTGTTCGTCAGTTTATGCGTAAATAAAAAAAAAACACATACCTCACTAGTAGTAGTAGTTATTATCGGAATTCCGTCTGTATGACGATGAAAATAAACAAAAATAAAATAAAATAATTCATCATCAACAACAATCACATTACCACAAAGCCCATCATAAATATACATTTCATCCAATGCAAAATTAAAGTCTAATACTCCTGCATCACGCATGGCTCTAACAGTAAGCTATAATGAAATTAAATACTTTTATAAATACATATATCAACTTCAACTAATGTGATTAAAAATCCATGGCAATCTTACTTACTTTATATGAAGATAGTGGTAATGGGCCCATAAAAGAAACTTTTTTATGTTGCCATTTATTCTCTGATGGTACTGCTGCTACCTCAATTATAAGTCCTGTCTCTTCATCTTCATCGTTTTTCCAACCAATCTGCATTTTAGCGTTTCCTGTTGTATCAGTTATATAATAATAGAAATCAAGACATTGTTCACTGTTTGTACTCCCGTCAACATTAGCAACATATGTCAAATCTTTTACACCAGCACTAGCTGGCAGCCTTATCATACCATACCTTCCTAAAGTGGATAGATTTGATTGAAATGAAAACAAGAACGAAGAATAAGAAGACAATTAACCTGTATCACATCGACCTGCGCCAGATTGTGTTGGACATGTGAAAGTATCGTTGATGAAACGACGACAAAAATGCATATCCCAACCTGCTCCGAATCCTGGATATGGATATGGTAACACACAATGTTCATTGTCAGGCATTGTTGGCGATGCTTCACAACAAACAACATTCAACATTAATTTCATTCTTTATTTTATATACACTTACAAATGGCCTTGACATCAGAGAATGGTTGCTTAGGAGCTACAGGACCGGCATTAATACCAGTATCCGAAGACATAACAGGACCACCTGTTGTTGGTGTGAATTGACAATCACCTGTTAATGGACTAGTGTCAAACCTACACTGATAGTTTATGATCTGAGATCGACATAAGATGAATGTATGGAGAAGAACTATCAAAGAAAATCAACAATCAAAGTTATAGTTTTTTGTTTTGGTTAGCACAACATACCGATAAGAACAGATGACATTTGATTTCTCATGGTTAAATGTATTTTCCTCTAGAAAGAAACGAATAATTGATTAAAATATGTTAGAAAAGAAATAGATAATAAATAAGTGTTTGAAACTACTAAACAACAAGGACATGAGGTGTATGATAATTTGAAGAGGAAGAAAAAAATATCATAACGAATGTTAATTTAATTTTACAAACAATAAAATTACATTATTTATCTTACTTTTGTATATTACAAATAAAATAATAAAAAAAAGAAATATGTCTTCATTTATAAGATATAGTATAAAACATATACGTCTTTCGATATTACTTGAATAAGATTACATTGTTATTAATCTCATAAGAAGGGTAATTGTTGCTAAAAATAAGACATGTATTTATTATATAGACAATACAACATCTTACTTGACGAGAACTTATCACATATTCGAGAACAAAATATTGTAATAATAGTCACCGTTAATAATTAAGAAGACTTTATATTCTGATAAAACTAAGATAAGAAAAATGTCATGTATTAACACTAGAAGGAGGATAGATAACGGTTTTTTTTATAATTTTTATTTGCATTTGGAATATGATGATACACAGACAATGCATTTTTCGAAACGCTATTTGTGTTAAACAATGTTGAATTGTTGTTAGTTCTCAATAAAGATTATCCTATAAAAATTTTAATTTAGAAAATGTTTAGACACTGCAAAGACTAAAATTAGGAGGTAGTCAATTCATAGAAAAATATTTTTGATGCTAATTCATTTTTAACTAAGAAGAGAGGATACCCAGATATGTTCCGAGGATTTTTAAGTCAAGTATACCTATTTCATATGAGAAACAATTAGGTGCTCTTGTTACCTTGTTAAAAAACTCTAAACAAAACACATGCTTCACTATACAGATTTTTTTTAGAAGCTATTTAAAGCTCTAGTACATTTTCTCTTTATGTATTGTGTATCTTGTTCAATTTACAGGCTCTTCGTATTTTCATAACATCACTCTAGACTGTTTATATCAACAAACAGCTAAAATTTTCTCGTCCTTAATTATATATGCCTGGTATTCAATTTAATATATATCGAAAGATTCTTATCAGCTTAAGAATGTTTGTAATGCATGTTTTTCTTTCGACGATAATCTATGGTCTATGGCAGTGTGCAGTGACTTTTCTTTCATTTGCTGCAGCCATTACCATCGTATTATCTACCGATCTTCAATTAGTGCACTAAATTCTCATTGAGGTTTCAATATTTCAAAATAATGTTTTTTTAAATAAACTCTTTGTAGATACCGACGTTTGTTAAGAAAATCTCTTGTTTTGCAAATCTATTAGTCACTTCGCAAATATGAATTTTTTTTTGAATTATTTTTAGTGATGATTAATAAACTTCACATATCTCTGAAGCAACCATAAAAGAACTCTCTAGTATTTGCCATTTTTGCATTAAATTCAATCAGAGAATAAATATTCTAGATTTAAACGTAAATAATTTCATCTTATAGACATTGTAATAATTGTTAATTTTTTAAAATAAATTTTGCACAGTAAAACATTTCATCTTGACAGATTTTATTTCCTTTGAAAAGGGCTGATTTTGATATTTAATCAAGTAATCAACATCCGACTTAAAAAAAATTATAATCATAGACAATAACAACTCACATCTGATAATATTTTTCACAAAATCAATCTTGACAAAGGAAGTGAGTTAATTATTTTTATCAATAAATAATACTAAATCTAATTTTTTATAATAATCCTTTGTCTTAGTTAACTAGATTCAACACTGAGAAAAGTCAGACGTTACTCAACGTATAGATTAACAGTAAGAGAACTGAAGAAGATTGTTTTTTCTAGATTTTAGTTTGTGAAAGTATTATGTAATCTATTCGGATCGAGAAAAACATTGCATCATTATCCTCTTTTCTTGTTTATTACAGAGTGTGCATCCAGTTTATATTGATCCAACACAACCATCCGCATTGTATGTTAAACTATTCGTTTTTTCCTTCATTATGTCTTTATAATTTTTTACGTCACTCGCACAGAGAAAGAGAGATATATTCTCTACATCATTCAGGCTTTAGGAAACGTTTTAATTCATATTTATGTTATATTAGATACGACTACTTTTTCATTTTTAATCATTCAGAACAGTGTCTATATCTGATAAAAGCTAAATAATATATAAGATGTTAACAAGTACACTATTTAATATTTTAGCACAATGAATTTGCAATCAAATGAAAAACCAACATTTATCAATAATGATATTTCAATCTATTTTAATGATAAACAATCAAATGTAAGTATCGATTAAGATCTCGAATGAGAATTTCAGATCAGTTTCTTTTGCTTTATTTTAAATGTCAAAAATTTATTATAGAATTTATTATCATCAAATATTAAATCAAGAATTAGTCCAACAGCGAATTATTCTCTAGATTTTGATTCAATAAATGAATTAATCAATTTGCATAAGAAGCGTAAACGCAAACAAATGATATATTTGTGTATCGTGTCTGGAATATTATTCTTAATTGGTTTGATAGTATTAATCATAGGCCTTGTTCCACCAAGATATAGTACTCTTTCTAATGACTTTCCAACAGCATATATAGTATATCTCACTGTTGGTGGAACTCTAATGGTTAGTAGCATTATACTTGTGTTGGTACGTTTCTGCAATAATTGTTGCTATATAAAACAACAATTTGAGGATGTAGATTTTAGCATTAATGGACAGCAGCCAGTTTTATGGCGATTGGATGGCGAACAATGGGTACGATATTTGAATTATATATATGGTCCAAATCGAATATGGACAGAAAGGAGTTCATCATCATCATCATCTTTCTGTTGTCGACGTTCAACTTATGAGCGATTGATGAATCGTCAATATGGTCATATTATTTTACATGAAAAAGGTTTAATAATTGATGAATTATATTTTGTTTCATTTCGAGATTACACATTACAAGATGTAAAAATACTCTATATCGACGCAAATTCAAAAATAATAGGTTTAAGAATAAATACTTATTTTCAAGATGGAAGATATAATCACTATTGCTATTATGATTTATTTGCACTATCATCAGTTTCATTGGAACAAATACAAGCACTCGCTCGAGCATACATTATTAAAATATCTGGAATTAGTACACTCGATTTACCTTTTGAAGTAATTCATCTTCCCGAATGACTGTATTTGTAAATTTGTCTTATTTATAAACTTTTTCCTATGTTGTAATAAAAAATAAAAACTATGAAGAAAATAATAGTTTTGAGTTTGATCATTTTTATTGGCTTTAATTGTTGTTGAAATGTAATGATTGTATGATAGTTTATTGTTTAAAATGAAATCGTGAACTGAGAGTATAGTATAGGAATACAATTTGAAAATAGTCAAGAAGCAATAAAACTGTTCGTGTTTAGTGAAGATCTTTCTACTTTGATTTTTTGAGAAAATAAAATTAAAATATGATCTCAAACTGATATCCACACCACCACCTAGATATTCTTGATGTAGAACCCATAAAAAGTTAAATGTTTTGTTGCTTGAATCTGATACCATCATCGTTGTTACTTGCATTGAGTATGTTTAATAGCGTCTATTCTTTCGCGGAATGTCTTTTTAAACCAGCAGCTATATAGGAAGTCAATTTTTTTTTCTTTCCCTTGTTCACATGGTTTTAAATGGAATAATACAGTGTTCTTTCTCTTTTAATAAAAAGAAAGAAAAACACTACTGATTGATTACTTAGTATATTTTTATATTGTTATTCTTTTTGGATTCTGATTATTTTTTCCGATTTACCAACTTTACTTTTTATTTGTCGGTTGGAAAAAATAACTTTGTCATTTCAATAAACTACTTTCATCACTTGCTTCCAACATACATTAAAAAGTAAAAAATATTATCAAGAATTCTAGCACATAATTCATTCGATTTAGATTATTGTTGACGTGGTGAGTTTTTGACTATTTTCATATTGTATACTAATATTAATATTTTTCTCATTAGTGTTTCACATAAATATAAAAAATCTGCTAACTTGAATTAGCAGTTTAAAAATAGACTGATTAGTTACTTTGTACAATTTATGAAGACTCTTCATACCATTTTGTAATCAAAAAAAAATATTTAAAATTTTCGAAGGTTTATTTGAATATTTATTCATAACCTGACTTTTCCATGTAAAACTCACATCAGAAACTATAATGTTGGAAGGTATATACCTCAAGATTCTTTTCAAAAAGCTAAGAAACCTTGCAAAAAAACATCAGATATCATTTAGGAAAATACCAACGCTCGAAGAACCTTTGTTAATTATGGGCAGTTTTTGAAGAACTAGAAAAAAAGAAACTGGGGCTTGTTTCACTAATTTTCCTAAAATTTAGACACTGGCTCTAGACGTTATTCATGCTTACCACTAGCCTCATCCTCATTGAATGTCACTCAAACTGAGTTTATGCAATTTTTAGTCTGTGATCATAGCACCTTTAGATACATTGATCAGTGAAATTTAGAGTTGAGATTGTGTATGTATATAAGGGTTATAGACATTAAAAACTCCTTAAAATCGCTCAATCTGTCAAAAACATTCTTGAATTAACATTGAAAATGAAAGGTAGTGTCATGCAGATTTTGAGATACTTCTTTATATTGAGAGCATACATTCGTCTTCAAATACTATTGTACCACTTTTTATGTATCTATGTTATATACAATCTAAAGAAATGCCGATCTGAAATATTGATATTTGTAGAAATAATAAGTTTTAACTATAATTATGACTAGGAGCAGAATAAAAAAATGCTATTTTATAGATTCCCTGTTCTGAATAAGAAACAATTTAACACTTATAAACGTTCATTCATGAGAATCATTCCATTATGTGTAATAAATGTCATACTGTTAAGGCGATTGCAAATTTCATATTAAATGCACCAGCTATTTTCGATTTTAAACTATTATGAATTAGTTTAGTTTTCTTGAGGGTGTGGGTGTGAGCAACATATATACGCAACAACCACACATACACCCACATCTTTCCTACAAAACTTGATAACATAATTATATTTGAGCTTTGTATTCAGTTTATTTGTTTCTACTTCAGGTAAAATACGATTACTGATTCTTTCATTGTTCTGGTCATCGCCTTCTACTTATTTTCAACATCTGATTAACATATTACTTTATCTATTTTCTTAAGTATTGGTACTGAGATAACTGAAAGAATAGAAAAAGGATAAAAAGAGAAAGAAATTAATGAGAAGAACCATTCTTTTTGATTTTCTCTTCTCATTTACGATATTTTATCACTTGAGAAGTCACTGTCGTTGAATACGGTATTACGAAAGATGCTTCCGAGACATTTGCTCCTACGACAATTGCTCCCCGGACATTTGCTCCCCAATGACATTTGCTCTCCAGACATTTGCTCCCGCGACAATTGCTCCCCAGCGGCATTTGTTCCCCGATGATATTTTCTCTTCTATGAGATTTACTCTTCAACAGTATGAAACAGACTAGGGTGTGAGTGTGGGTG